AGAGACTCTGCTCCAAGGAAAACACACTCCCAGCTTAGACTGGTGGGAGCCAGGTGACCAGCCAAGACCAAGGGGCACCTTGGTCTCAAACAGGCTTCTTTGGGGGGAAGATTTTGTCTCCTGGGCTAATAACAAGCCTCCCCATCCCTCCGCCACTGGGTGGGTGAGCGGCAGCAGTACCTTGTCAAGGAGCTGCCAGTGAGGACAAGGAACAAGGGCTATCGTAGCTGCTGTCAGCTGGGTCTTGACTCAAAGCAGAGACCACCAGGAAGATGCTTGTGCTTTATCGACCACGCGGAGGCATTGACTGTGTGGATCATAATGAACTGTGGATGCCTTGAGAAAAGTGGGAATCCCGGAACGTCGTTGTGCTCATTCAGAACGTGTTCATGGATCAAGAGGCAGCCGTGAGACCAGAACCAGGGAATACGGCGTGGTTTGAGATCAGGAAAGGTGTGCGTCAGGGTTGTACCCTCTCGCCATACTTGCTCAATCTGCAGCTGAACAAATCACCAGAGAAGCTGGGTTCTAGGAAGAGGGGGGCATCAGGGCGGGAGGAAGGCTTGCTCACAACCTGCAGAGTGCAGGTGACACACTCTTGCCTGCTGACAGCGAGGAGGAACCGAAGCACTTGCTGACGAAGATCAAGGTTTGTAGCCTTCAGTGTGGATTACAGCTCGTGTAAGGAAGACCAAGATCCTCACAACGGGACCCACAGGCAACATCACGATAGATGGAGAAAAGGCTGAATGTGTCAGGGAGGTTGCCTTACCTGCATCCACACTCAGCGCTCCTGGAAGCAGCAGCCCAGAGATCAAAAGACGGAGTGGGTTAGGTAAATCGGCTGCACAGCCCTCTTTAGAGGATTGAAGAGCAAGGTGTTTCTTTGAGGACTCGGGTGTGCCTGACCAAGCGCTGGTGTTCTCTACGGCCTCGCGTGCCTGAGAAAGCTGGCCTTGAATAAGGGAGACTAGAAGAATCGGTGCACGTGAACTGTGGTGCTGGAGAAGACTATGGACAGTCCTATGGACGGCTTAAAGGACAAGTCAAAGTGTCTTAGAAGAAGTAAGGCCCGCGTGCTCCTTAGAGGCAAGGATGGCAAGATTTCAGCTCACAGACTTTGGACCTATGGTCAGGAGAGGCCAGTCCCTGGAGAGGGCCACTGCGTTTGGTACAGTAGAAGGGCAGCGAAAATGGGGAAGGGCCTTGACAAGATGGACCGCACCAGTGGGCTCAGGCCAGTGGGGGGGATGGCGCAGGGCGCGGTCGCTCTGGGTGGGGCCCGACTCGATGGCACCTAACCACACCGACACCAGCCTCTCGGCTCAGATGCCACCCCTCGCCTACAATTTCAACGCAGGGCTTTCTCAGTCGGTTCCGTCCGTCGATGCAGGCTCTTTCGGGTTCTCCCTGCGTCTCTAAAGAAAGTCTAGATCCACGAGGTTCTCCCTTCCCCTGAGCCACAGACACCACGGTCAAGCTCCAAGGCGCAAGCTCGCTGCTGTCCAGTCGATTCCACTCCCGTGACCTGACAGGACAGGGCAGAACCGGCCCCAGGGGCTCCCGAGACTCACTCTTGACAGGAGTCCCAAGCCTCCTCTTTCTCTCGGAGCAGCTGAGGGGTCAAACTGCTGACCTTGCGGTTAGCAGCTTGTCTTACAACCCCTTCCATCACCGGGCATCTTAGTCAGATACTTTATCTTTTTTCCCCCTCAGAAAATTACTTCCTCACTAAGAATCCAAACGGGGTCTTGGCCAACTGAAGGAAGGAACCCCTTCCTTGTGGCCCTGGGCGCCCCTGGTTTCTTGACTCGTAGGGCACTGCCCTTCCTGCAGGGGGCAGTTGGGTCTCTGTGTGAAATCCACCCTTTCTAACTCAAGAGTGCTTAGATTTAGAACCCAAGTCACTATGGTCCCATTTAGCCAAGAGAACAAGCGAGCCTCGTTCCCAGACAGGTGTACGGCCGCGGGTGTAGAACTCAGACGACACCACGGTGCTGTTTTGTTTTGTTTTTTTTGCGGGGGAGGCATAGAAAAGTCAGGGGCACCTGGGTCCTGCTGCCATCCACTGAGTTCTCCAAAGTCCTGGAGGCGCCGGCGGCTGTGCCCCTCTGCGTGTGCTGCGTGGCTCCCTCCGTGCAGCCACGGGGCTCCAGGCCCACAGGCTCAAAGTCGGGCCATAAGGATGCAATGCACCCATAGACTTGAGTCTAAGCTGACCTGAATATCCGCCGAGGCACCTGATTTTAACACAAAAAACGGCATAAAAAAGTTGCTGAAAAACCTGACGTATACTCAAGTATATACGGTAACTGCCCAAAGTCCACCACCAGTCCAAGGGCCCTTCTGCTCCACTCTGCTCCCTCACACTACCTTGACAGGGCCACACCCAGCCTCTGGGCACAGTGCCTTCTCCTCTCAGATCACCAAGGCCACCAGGGGTCTGGCCACTGCTTCGACCCCTGCCCCTACTGCCCACCTGAGGACTTGGCCCAAGGGAGAGACCAGGTGTAGGCCCCTTACCCAGATTCACACCCACACCTGACTCTGAGCCATACTCCCAGTTCTCACTGCCCTTCAGGCCTGGAGAAGCTGCCCGAGTGGACGAGTGGACGGCTCCGGCCCAGCCCGAGGCTACAAGAAGGGCTGGTTTTGAAGGGGAGGGGAAAGAGGCGCCGTGAGACCCAGCACCTTCCGAGCAAAGAAGTAACATTTTGGTAGCATCTCTCTACTCTCCTGAAATGATGATCATAAACAATATGCCCACCCACTCACTTAATGTTTTAAAGCCACAAAATACTGCTCGAGGAAAAGATAAAAAGGAAAACCGTTTCTAATCAAATAACACATATTTCAAAATGTCATTACTCAGGCCTCGTGACACTAGAGAAGAGAAGGCAAGTGTCAAATGCCTGTCCCTGCCTGTAACAGACCACTCAGGACTGAAGGAGAACGCGATCATCAGAAAGCACGCTGCAAACAAGAAAGACAGACAGACATAGACAGTGCAATTCTAGAAGAAATATTCCTTTAATCTGTGTTTCAAAAACCGATGCTGTTTCGTAGCCTGGGCATGTAAAAGGGGCCAGCTCCGGATCATCACTAACAGGCTTTTCCACCCCAGGAATGTCTGGGACATTGGAAAAAACTCTGGATGACACTTGATTCAGACGCTCTGGGGCCCTGTAGGATATCGGAATCCCCGTCCCTGCCCGTTAACTGCCAATGGTGTCCCCGATCCCTGTGAGACTAAAACGCATCCTCCTGGAACACCAAAAATCACACACACATACTGTTTCTCAGAGTGAAGCTTTGAATCACTAACTGGCCAGGTGATTAAAATTCCCACTGTCCATATGGAAGGGCATGTGCCAGAATGTTGACGGTGGTTTTACTGAGGGATAAGGGGAATTACAGGGAACGTCCCCATCTGTTTATACATTTTGGTATTGTGTGCAATTTTGCTTACAACAGTATGCAAATTTGCAATAGGAAAAACGATAGAAAATTTTTAGAAAGTAACGCGGAGTTCCCCTTCACGTATGTGCTTGTTTTGTTCCTCTCGAGCAGGAGGCAAGTCTGCGGTGAGTAAACCATTCTTTCCTCTTTTGGACACCTGGACAGCCCAGCGGCTGGGGGACTGACTGCAGGCCTCCAGCTTCCCTCGTCTGCTTGCACCGCCACCCGGTGGCCAA